GATCTGCCCACCTCAGCTTCCCAAAAAGCTGGGATTACAGGCATGACTCACCGTGCCTAGCTGTTGGGAGGTTTCTGATTATTGATCCAATCTCTGATATAGTTTGGATGTCCCCTCCAAATCTCACGTTGAGATGTAATCCCCAGTGTTGGAAGTGAGGCCTAATAGGAGGTGTTTGGGTCAAGGGGGTGGACCCCACATGTCTTGGTGCTGCCCTCACCGTAATGAGTGAGTTCTTGTGAGATCTGGTTGTTTAATGTGTGGCACCTCCACCCTCTCTCCCTCTTGTTCTTGCTTTCTTCATGCAAAGGGCCTGCTCCTGCTTTGCCTTCTGCCATGAGTCAAAGCTCCCTGAGACCTCCCAGAAGCCAAGCAGATGCTGGCACCATGCTTGTACAGCCTGCAGAACAGCGAGCCAATTTCACCTCTTTTCTTCATAAACTACCCAGTCTCAGGTATTTCCTTTTTCTTTTCTTTTCTTTTTTTTTTTTTGAGATGGAGTCTCACGCTGTTGCCCAGGCTGGAGTGCAGTGGCGCGATCTCGGCTCACTGCAAGCTCCGCCTCCCGGGTTCCCGCCATTCTCCTGCCTCAGCCTCCTGAGTAGCTGGGACTACAGGTGCCCGCCACCGCGCCCGGCTAATTTTTTTTTGTATTTTTAGTAGAGGCGGGGTTTCACTGTGGTCTCGATCTCCTGACCTTGTGATCCGCCCGCCTCGGCCTCCCAAAGTGCTGGGATTACAGGCTTGAGCCACCGCGCCCGGCCCCTTTTTCTTTTCTTTTCTTTTTTCTTTTTTTTTTTTTTTTTCTGAGACAGGGTCTCGCTCTATTGCCAGACTGGAGTGTAGTGGCACAATCTTAGCTCACTGCAACCTCCCTGTCCTGTGTTCAAGTGGTCCTTCTGCCCCAGCCTCCTGACTGCCTGGGATTACAGGCGCGTGCCACCATGCCCAGCTAATTTTTAGTAGAGATGGGGTCTCACCATGTTGGCTAGGCTGGTCTCGAACTCCTGGCTTCAATTGATCCACCCGCCTCAGCCTCCCAAAGTGCTGGGATTACAGGTGTGAGCCACCACGCCTGGCCAGGTGTTTTTTTTTATAGCAATGCAAGAATGGATTGATACAATCTCCCTACTAGTTGTAGGTCTGTTCGGATTTCCTATTTCTTCTTGAGTTGGTTTTTGTAGTTGGTGTCTTTCTAGACATTTATCCACTTCACCTAAGTTATCAACTTTATTGGTGTAAAATTGTTCATAGTACTATCTTATAATCTCTTATAATCCTTTTCATTTCTGTCAAATCAATAGTGATATCCTCACTTTCATTTCTGATTTTAGTAATTTGAGGCTTCTTTTGTTTTCTTTATCCATTTAGCTAACATTTCATTCCTTTTGTTGATCTTTTAAAGAACCAACTTTTGATATTGTTGATTTTCTCGATTGTTTTTCTATTCTCTATTTTATTTGTTTTCACTCTAATCTTTATTATTTCTTATCTTCTGCTAGCTTTGGATTTGGTCTCCTTGTTTTTCTAGTTCCTTAAGGTATACAGTTCGCTTTTAAATTTTGAGGTCCTCCTTCTTTGTTAATGTCTGCATTCACAGCTGTCCATTTCCCTCTTAGCACTGCTTTCACTGCATACCATAAGTCTTGATATGTGTGGCTTTTGTTTTCATTTGTCTCAAGGTATTTTCTGACTTCCCTTATGATTTCTTCTTTGACCCACTGGTTGTTTAAGAGTATATTGTTGGCCGGGTGCGGTGGTTCACACCTGTAATCCCAGCACCTTGGGAAGCCGAAGCGGGCAGATCACAAGGTCAGGAGATTGAGACCATCCTGGCTAACACGGTGAAATCCCGCCTCTACTAAAAACACAAAAACAAAATTAGCCGGGCATGGTGGTGGGTGCCTGTAGTCCCAGCTACTCAGGAGGCTGAGGTGGGAGAATGGCATGAACCCGGGAGGCAAAGCTTGCAGTAGGCCCAGATCGTGCCACTGCACTCCAGCCCAGGCAACAGAGCGAGACTCTGTCTCAAAAAACAAACAAAAAAAGAATATATCATTTAGGCCGGGCATGGTGGTTCACATCCGTAATCCCAGCACTTTAGGAGGCCAAGGCAGGTGGATCACAAGGTCACGGGTTCGAGACCAGCCTGAACAACATGGTGAAACCCTGTCTCTACTAAAAATACAAAATTAGCCGGGTGTGGTGGCACATGCCTGTAATCCCAGCTACTCAGGGGGTTGAGGCAGGAGAATTGCTTGAACTTGGCAGGCAGAGGTTGCAGTGAGCTGAGATCATGCCATTGTACTCTAGCCTGGGCAACAAGAGTGAAACTCCATCTAAAAAAAAAAAAAAAGAAAGAGTATATTGTTTAAATTTTCACATAGTTCTGAAAATTTCAGTTTCCTTATGTTACTGATTTTTAGTTTCATTCCATTTCAAACAGAAAAATATACTTTGATTTCAAACTTTTTTTTTTTTTTTTTTTTTTTTTTAGACAGAGTTGCTCTATCCCTCAGGCTGGAGGAGTGCAGTGGTGCGATCTTGGCTCACTGCAACCTCTGCCTCCCAGGTTCAAACAATTCTCCTGCCTCAGACTCCCAAGTAGCTGGGACTACAGCCATATGCCACCACGCCTGGCTAATTTTTTTGTATTTGTAGTAGAGACAGGGTTTCACCGTATTGGTCAGGCTAGTCTCGAACTCCTGACCTCAAATGATCCGCCCAGCTCAGTCTCCCAAAGTGCTGGTATTACAGGCATGTAATACCACGCCCGGAGTGGCCTGGAGTTACCACGCCCGGCCCAAACTTTTAAAATATATTAAGATTTGTTTTGTGCTCCTTGGCTGATATTAGTCTGTATCCTTTAGCTCTAATAAAACAGTAACCAGGTGTATAACAGCTTTTCTGGATTATCCAAGTCATTCTAGTGAATCATTAAACCTTAGTGTGCTCATGGGGAAACTCCAGATACAAAGACCTAGAAAGAAAACTGTTAAATAGAAGTGGTGAGAGTGGGCATCCTTATCTTGTTCCAGCTCTGTACACTAGTACAACCACGATGGAAAACAGTGTGAAGATTCCTTAAAGAACTAAAAGTAGAACTACCATTTGATCCAGCAATCCCACTACTGGGTATCTACCCAGAGGAAAGGAAGTCATTATATACATAAGGTACTTGCGCATAGATGTTTATAGCAGCACAGTTCACAACTGCAAAAATGTGGAACCAACCCAAATGCCCATCAATCAATGAGTGGATAAAGAAACTGTGGTGTATATATATGATGGAATATTACTCAGCCATAAAAAGGAATGCATTAAAGGCATTCACAGCAACCTGGATGGGATTGGAGACTATTATCCTAAGTGAAGTAACTCAGGAATGGAATACCAAACATCGTATGTTGTCACTCATAAGTAGGAGCTAAGCTATGAGGGTGCAAAGGCATAAGAATGACACAGTGGACTTTGGGGACTAAGGGAGAAAGAGTGGGAAGAGGTTGAGGGATAAAAGACTACAAACTGGGTTCAGTGTGCACTGCTCAGGTGATGGGTGCACCAAAATCTCACAAATCACCACTAAAGAACTTACTCGTGTAACCAAACACCACCTATTCCCCAAAACCTATGGAAATAAAAAATTTCTTTAAAAAGAAAGAAAATTGGGCCAGGCGCAGTGGCTCATGCCTGTAATCCCAGCACTTTGGGAGGCTGAGGCCGGTGGATCACGAGGTCAGGAGATCGAGACCATCCTGGCTAACACAGTGAAACCCCATCTCTACTAAAAATACAAAAAATTAGCCAGGCATGGTGGCGGGTGCCTGTAGTCCCAGCTACGCGGGAGGCTGAGGCAGGAGAATGGTGTGAACCCGGGAGGCGGAGCTTGCAGTGAGCTGAGATCGCTCCACTGCCCTCCAGCCTGGGCGACGGAGCGAGACTCCATTTCAAAGAAAGAAAGAAAGAAAACTGTCAAACAGAAAACATGAACAAATACTTGAACAAATGGAAAAACTACCAAGTTCTCTGATGGGAAGACTCAAAATAATGAAAATTCCAAATCTCCCGGAGTTATTTCCTAGATTAAAATCAATCCTAACAAAAATGCCATTAGGAATTTTTTAAACTAGCTAAGGTAACTAACTATATGATTTATATTGGGGGTTTGACGAAGGAAAGTAAGATACTCAGGACATTTTTGAAAGGGAACAGCAGGTGGGAACCTAAGATATCAAAGCCTACTGCAATGCTTAGTACTTTAAACAACGTGAAACTCATATGCAAATAGACACCCGACTGGAACAGAATAGAAAGTCCAAAAATTCCCAAGTACATACAGAATTTAAAATATGACAAAGATGGTACTTCAAATATATATGTTGCTGGGAAAATTGAATATCTGTTTTGCAAAAAAAGAAAGAGAGAGAGAGAGAAGGAAGGAAGAAGGAAAGAGAAAGTGAAAAGCAAAGAAAGAAATAAAGAGAGAAAGAAAGAAACAGGCCAGGCGTGGTGGCTCATGGGTGGATCACCTGAGGTCAGGAGTTCGAGAACAGCCTGGTCAACATGGCGAAATCCCGTCTTTACTGAAAATACAAAAATTAGCTGGGTGTGGTGACAGGTGCCTATAATCCCAGCTACTCAGGAGGCTGAGGCTGAGGCAGGAGAATCGTTTGAACCTGGGAGGCAGAGGTTGCAGTGAGCTGAGATCACTCCAACCTGGGGGATAGAGCAAGACTCTGTCTCCAAAATAAAATAAAATAAAATAAAAAGAAAATAAGCAAATCTGTGCTTCATGCTATATACAGAGCACCACAGATTCAAATGTAAAACTCCCACAAAAATTAGTGGAACATGACTTGACGTAAGACTTTTCTAACTATGACAAAAACCCCAGAAACTCTAAAAAGAAAAACTTGATGCATTTGGCTACATTGGAATGAAAAACCTCTACTTAGTAAAAATCTCATCGGCAAAGTCAAAAGACAAATGACCAACTGGGAAAATGTGCAACTCATTTTACAATCAAGGGGCGATATGCTTAATATATAGAGTTCTATATCAATCAAGACTAATACCCAACAGGAAACTGAGCAAAGGATATAATGTTCTCAAAGCTTGAGTGGCTTGGTTCTGATTGCACTCTTGCCATTTGCCATAATTTGCTTCAGGCAGCCACTGGTTCAAAGAGGATGAGAGGTTTATGAGACAAATTGGAACCTGTTAGATGGCTAGGAGTCAATCCTGGGTGTCTTACAGCTCCAAGGAGAGCTACTTGGCTGAGCACAGACGGTGTCTACCAAACTGCAGTGGATCCTCAGTCCTGTGAGTGAGAAGTGGTATGGTAATCAGCACTATCACAGCAATAGCCAATTAACGCACCTGTGAAATAACAGATTACAAGCATATTAATGGCAGGATTTTTTTTTTTTTGGTAAAAACAATTATGTGGAAAAACTAAACGTCCCCCAAGAAGTGGTCATAAATTATGACCGGTCCATACAATGGATTTCTACACAAGGAAAGAGAATAAAGAAGCTCTGTGTTTACTGATAGGGAAAGTTCTCCAAATTAGTTGCCAAGTGAAAAAGGAAAACCACAGAGTAGAGTGTATGGTGTACTGCTGCTTGTGTTTTAAAAGAAGGAAAGGGGAGACAAATGAATTTATACTGACTTATGTATTCCCTGAAAAAAGGTCTCTGGAAAAATAAAGTGATAACTCTGCTTCTTGATGGAGGGATAGGAACTGGGCAAATGGATAGGGGTGGAGATTAAAACTAGAGTTATTAGAGTTATTTAGAAGTAAAGTTTAAGAAAAGTAATCTAATAGTTGATAAGCTTACTTTTCTTTCTTTCCCCCCAACACCTTGAGATGGAGTCTCCCTCGGTCGCCCAGGCCGGAGTGCAATGGCACGATCTCGGCTCACTGCAACCTCCGCCTCTTAGGTTCAAGCAATTCTCCCGCCTCAGCCTCCCAAGTCGCTGGGATTGCAGGCATTCGCCACTATGCCCAGCTGATTTTTGGTTTTTTTTTTTTTTTGAGATGGAGTCTTGTTCTGTCCCCCAGGCTGGAGTGCAGTGGCACAATCTCGGCTCACTGCAACTTCTACCTCCCGGGTTCAAGCAATTCTCCTGCCTCAGCCTCCTGAGTAGCTGGGATTACAGGCACACACCACCATGCCCAGCTAATTTTTTGTTGTTGTTGTATTTTCAGTAGAGATGGGTTTTCACCATGTTGGCCAGGCTGGTCTTGAACTCCTGACCTTGTGATCCGCCCACCTTGGCCTCCCAAAGTGCTGGGATTACAGGCGTGAGCCACCGTGCCAGGCCTGATTTTTGTATTTTTAGTAGAGATGGGGTTTCACCATTTTGGCCAGGCTGGTCTCGAACTCCTGACCTCAGGTGATCCACCCACCTCGGCTTCCTGAAGTGCTGGGATTACAGGCGTGAACCACCGGGCCCAGCCAACTTACTTTTCAGTAAGAGAAAAAAATGAAAAGGCCAGGAAGAACATTTTTCATTAAGAGTATACTTTTGGCCAGTCGCGGTGGCTCACGCCTGTAATCCCAGCACTTTGGGAGACCGAGGCAGGAGGATCATAATGTCAGGCGTTTGAGACCAGCCTGGCCAACATGGTGAAACCCCGTCTCTACTGAAAATACAAAAAAATTAGCCAGGCGTGGTGGTGCAAGCCTGTAATCCCAGCTACCCGGGAGGCTGAAGCAGGAGAATTGCTTGAACCTGGGAGGCAGAGATTGCAGTGAGCTGAGATCACACCAGTATACTCCAGCTTGGGCAACAGAGCGAGATTTACATCTCAAAAAAAAAAAAAAAAAAAAGAAACAACATCAGAACCCTGTGGGACAGCTGGTACTCACTGTGCATCATGGTCCTGGAGCTGCCACCTCTATTCTCACACCCTGCTGTTCCCCAGGTCCCTGCTCTGGCCCCAGATTCATTCTCAGGAAGCGCTCTCGCTACCACTTCCTGCTCCTGTTGCTACAACAGACATTGCTAATTGATCCCTGCGCAGGCTGCAGAGAAAGCTGCAGAGTCCTTCATGCAGCCATCAGGGCAGCCAGTGCTGGTCAAGCTCGTCTTCAAAATGATCCCCACCTGCAATCTGGCTCATGACGGTGTCCACCTGAACTTCCTGTCTTTGCACATTCTGTTCCGACGTCTGAAATGCTTGTCCCAGCCTCCCTCTAGCTGATTGGTATTCATCCTCATCCTTTAAGACTCAAGAGCCTCCCTCTAGGAAGCCTTTGCTGCCCCATCCAGATCCAGTGCTTGCTCAACTGTAGTGCTCACACTCACTTCCCCTGAGACCTTCTTCCCACTGTTTTACAGTGGTTAGGCCACATTATCACCTGCTCTGTTAGACCGAGGTGCTGGGGGGCTGGGACCCCTTCCTTCTCCCCGTTCCTTAGTCAGGGTGGCTTCATGGGCCTGTGACCTGTGCAGTCCCAGGGCCTCAGGCTTAGGAAGGCCCTGCACTTGGCTTAATGCTCTGCTGTCACCATCTCATGATTCTTAATACTTTTATCTTTGAGCCTGGGCTTTAGAGGTCAAGTCCAATGGGGTGTTGGTCATGCACTGGTCACCAACTGCCTTCCTGCCTCCCTAGGACAATTTCTTGGTGGCTCCATCCTCTTCTTCTTGGTGCCAGGTCCTGCCCATCCTCCCCTTCTAGCCTGGAAACCCTGCCTACGTCTGCCCGGGGCAGCAACAGGGTCCTGTTGAGCCAAGAAGGTTGGGTGCAGGTGCCAGAGGGTCGAGTCAGGTATGTACGCTCTGCGACATCTGGGGACAGGGGCAGGCAACACTGCAGCTATCTAGACTCTGAGTTTTGGGGGTTGCCTGTGTGCCAGGGGTTGGGGTGATGGCTGTGGGAAGGGGAAAGGCCACCTTGACTTCCTCAGAGCCCACCGGGCTGCCAGGGGGGTGCCCAGCAGCCATGGAACCCGAGTCAGAGGGCGGCTGGGTGACCTGGCCATGAGGATAGACTCCCTTCAAGTTCCCCATGCCCAGGAGCTGGGGTGCCCTCTTCTCTTTCCAACCTTCTAGAATTCAGCTTGCATTTGTCTCTTCTGTCTGGCTTCAGGCATTCTACATGCAGAAGGTGCTACAAAATACAAATTGTAGAACTTTGGTGATTCTGCATGCGAGTTAAGTGCCTTATGTTTGCATCTAAAACCAGCACTGTGCAACGTAAAGATTCACAGGAAAAACCGTGCTAATTATTTAGAATTCTAAGTTTTCTTTATTTCAGATGAAGTTAAATAGCAAACATAAACACTGTGAAAAGTCAAGAGAGAGACCATAGCAGGAGAAGAAGGCTTTATATGGCACTCTTCTACTTTTTAAACATTGGGCGTGGCTGGAGTTTTCATTTTTCACTGGGGTCCACAAATCTTATAATCGGCTCTCCCGCTGCCCTCAGTGCCAGGTGGAGAGCAGATTCTGGAGACTGTTGAATGAACTTGGACACACGTATTACTTTAGCCAAGCCCACTCTGCCCGTGGCCCGGAAATGGACACCTCAGGGGCCTGTGTGCGATGCCGCTGTCCTGGCCCCAGGCTGCCGCTGCACTGTGCAGAGAAGGGTGGAGGCTCTCAGGGACGCCTCTCTGGGAACTCAACTGTGACAGTATTTGCAATGAGCAAAGACATCCAAGATGCAGGGAGGCAGCCTTCCCTGGGGATTGACCTGGAAGAGGGTGAGATTCTAGGAGGATGGCATCACCTCCATGGCAACCCTTGCCAAAAGTCAGAAATCCAGGCCTGCAGGCTGTGGGTGCTGATGCCCTGTAGCTCTGTTCTGCCCAAGCTCTGCAGAAAGGTCTATTTCTAGCCAGAATTTTTTTTTTTTTAAACAACAGATCAGTTCCTATTACAGGTAGAAGGCTTTAGGATTAAAAAAAAAAAAAAAAGTCTGTAGGATGTAATACTGTTCCTTAATGGGAATCATTTGTTCACATAAATGATTATTTACTGATATTTCGTTCTGTCTCTCAACACGGAGTCATATTTACTTTAGGGTTTTTTTGTTTGGTTTGGTTTTGGTTTTTTTGAGTCAGGGTCTTACTCTGTCACCCAGGCTGGAGGGCAGTGGTGCTATCATAGTTCACTGCAGCCTCGAACTCCTGGGTTCAAACAATCCTCCCACCTCAGCCTCCTAAAGCGCTGAGAATACAGGTGTGAGCCCCCAAGCCTGACTGACTAGGTTTTCTTTTAAGCATTAAGTGGTTACAAAGCTGCAGTTCCTACAATTCACTCTTGAGCCCAAATCCCACCCTCTCCATGCCCCGTCTTTCCCCAGAGAAAACCAGTGTTATGAATTTGCCTTCTCTGCAGTCCACGCTGCCTTCCTTCTCCAGCATGTGTTCCCAATGTGTTCATTTCCAAATTCACAGGAATGCATTCGCACCGTAGTTAATGTTTTGAACTTGCTTCACTCCCCAATGTTATGTTAGTTAATTCATCCCTACTGAGATGTGTAGATTTACTTTATTCATTTTTACTGTGTTATATTGTATTCCATTTTACTAATACACCATGAAGTATTAATTTCTCCTCTAGATTACGGACGTCTGACCTTTCACGATTAAAGACACTGTTTCCGTGAATATTCTTGTGCTGGTGGCCTTGTGAGAGAGTGCTGGCTGTTCCCGCTATCTTCCTGCTCTTTACAAGAGATACTAACACCACAAACATTTCCCAAAAATTAAAAATAGCAAGAAGCTATTGAAAATATCTTCCTGCCAACACGTTTGTGAACAGAGAGGAAATAGATAATAGGCCTCCAATCTCTCCTGCCTCTCCCGTTGTTGCATCTCTCTGGTCTCTTGTTTTCTTTTCTTTTTCTTTTTCTTTTTCTTTTTGAGAGACAGGATCTTTCTCTGTTGCCCAGGTGGAATGCAGTGGTGCAGTCTCGGCTCACCACAACCTCCGCCTCCTGGGTTCAAGCGATTCTCCTACCTCAGCCTCCTGAATAGCTGGGACTACAGGTGTGCGCCACCACGCCCAGCTAATTTTTGTATTTTTAGTAGAGACAAGGTTTCACCATGTTGGCCAGGCTGGTCTCAAACTCCTGACCTCAAGTGATCCACCCGCCTCGGCCTCCCAAAGTGTTGAGATTACAGGCGTGAGCCACCATGCCCAGCCTCTTGTTTTCTTTTAAATATTTTAGATTCCCACAGTATCCAGCGAAACTCCAAAGCAAAATTTCATGTGAAAACAGAAAAAGCTCCCAGGATTTTAAGGAAATTATTTGCAGTGATGCCTTTCAGGGGGAAGCTGCTCTTGGCTTCTCAGCGTCCACGTCATCCTGAGAAAGGACCGTTGGTGGCATTACCAGGTTCCAAAGAGAAATACCTAAAGGCCAGGTCATGTCTGTGCCTGTGCCATGCCTTAGCACTGTGCAGGAAAGTCAACTTTTCATTTCAGAAGCCACCTTTCATCTTCAGGAATAGAAACAGCAGAGCTATTTCCTACTACAGAAAAGCTTGGTGTTTTTACAACTGAGGAGCAGAACAGAATCACCAAGGGAGCTGGTGGCCTAGGAAACTTCAGTGGCTGCTGGACCCTGCGCCCTCCTTGGCATCTTGCTCACCTCCTCCTTCCTGTCTGTCCCTCTCATCCTCATGGTTTTGTGTTCAGCATCACTACATACCCCTAGTCTGCTGATGAATGGCCAGTGGACAGAGGCCTTGGAGGAATGAACTTGACCTTCCCGTGCAGTTTGGAGAGGCACCTAGGGGAGAGGCCAGAGAATCCCAACTGGAGGGGAAGTTACGCTGCCCTCAGGATCCTGGTGGGAGGGTCCTGCTCTGTGGCCGCCCTTGCGAAGAACCATTCCTGTGAGAAGCTGGTCTAAGGACACAGAGCCTAGGTCCTGGCCCGAGCCCGGCCACCTCTTGTGTTCATTTGTTCTTTCATTCTACAAACTGTGGGTTCCCGTGCTGTGCCTGGGACCATCCGGCCCTCAGAATGCATCAGTGAGGAAGCTGGCTTTGTGCTCAGGGCATTCTCGCTCTCCTGGAATGGAGCGATGGTCACCCTAGTCTTGGGAGGACCCACTGCTGGCTGGGCCTTCCTTATGGCAGCCCTGTGAGAGCAAGATTCTGTTACAATGCCCATTCTGCAGATGCAAAGCTGGTGGCCCAGAGTGAAGAGGCCTAAGGCCACGTGGTGGTCAGAGGCAGGACTCTGAGGGTGTGCAGCTTGTGCCTTCTGCTTCCCTGAGTGGTCCAATATGCGAAGCTGAACCCCAACCCCATCTCTGGTGCAGTAGGGTGTGAAGTTTCTTAAAGCCTAGAGCTGCCAACCCTGTGAGCACCATCCATTTACTCAGCAAATGCTCTGTGGCCCTCAAGCCACATTACAGGGGAGAAGCATGGCTGAGTGGAAAGCACGTGAGTTAGACATCTCATCCAGCCTTCATCATTTAAGAGCAGGTGAATTTTTTTGTTTGTTTGTTTTTTGATAGGGTCTTGCTCTGTCGCCCAGGCTGGAGTGCAGTGGCTCAATCATGGCTCACTGCAACCTCTGCCTCCCAGGTCAAGCGATCCTCCTGCCTCAGCCCCCTGAGTAACTGGGACTACAGGCATGCACCACCATGCTCAGCTAATTTTTGTATTTTTAAACATTTTCTGTAGAGACGGGGTTTTGCCATATTGCATAGGCTGGTCTTGAACTCCTGGACCCAAGTGATCCGCCCACCTCGGCCTCCCAAAGTGCTGGGCTTACAGGCGTGGGCCACAGCGCCAGGCTGAATTATTCAAGCCTTAGTTTTTTCCTCTGTAAAGTGGGGGATCTAAGGATTTTATGAGGCTCCACAGAAATGACACGTGTAACCTGCCTGGTGTGTATATGCCACAGGAAACATCAGCACTATGATTGCAATATTTTTGTCTCCTCCAAAACTCATTACATTTCATGTTGAAATTTAATCCCCAATATGACAGTATTGAGAGGTGGGGCCTTTAAGAGATGAATGGGTTAATCCATTAATGGGTTATTGTGGGAATGGGACTGGTGGTTTTATAAGAAGAGGAAGACAACCATGAGTAAGTACGTCAGCATGCTTTGTGCCCTCACCATGTGATGGCCTGGGCCACCTTGGGACTCCACAGAGAGTCCCCATCAGCAAGAAAACCCTCACCAGACTTGGCCCCTTTTCCTTGGATTTATCAGCCTCTATAATTGTAAGAAATATATATTTTTAATATATTACCCAATTTCAGGTTTTCTGTTATAAGCAACAACAACAAAAACAGACTAAATCAGCACCTTCCCTTTTCTGAAGGTTCAGGTTGCCCTGTCAGTCACTGACTGAGGTCTGAGGAAGGGGAAGTCTGATGG